GGTACTCGGTAAAATCCATTTTTTGATAAATATTAATAATGTGATTTTATCATGGCGTTCAATGCATAGAGTAAATTATTTTACGGTTCAACGGGAACAAGAAAACAAAACTCAGATCAATACCTCTAAAAATCCATTGGTCATCTACACGGTAGCCACCAAATTTCAACAAATTTTCCTAGGTATTTCATGCATCATCGTCACCATTTAAAAAGTTAAAAATTATTTTATTATATATTTTATTAAGCGTAAGGCACGGATTTATATGAATTGGTATTAAATATTTCCATAAAAATAAATTAATTTAATACATTTTGTATTACAAGCAATTATTTCTTGCTTTAATTCTCCATAACCTATTCCATTCAATACATGTTCACAAAATAATATAATAGACACGTCACACGTAGGTACTGTACGTTAAACTAAAAAATTAACAAGAGTCAAAAACGTTTGTTATAAATTACAATTATGGAGTATGGTCGTATGGAAAAACAAAAATAAATGAAATCGAAATACCGTAATTGCAAACATTTCGTGGAATTAATAATAATTTGAAAAATCGAAAAAAAACTGCAGAATTTAAATTAATTTTGTACATTTTGAAACTATTCTTGTGACTTTACCATTTTTTCCATTGCAAAACGTCTAAGTTGCTTCGAGAAATTGAAATTTAACATATAAATACCTAATATTTTAAAAATAATTAACATCAAATAATCATAATTTCTAAACTAATAATTTGCCCGATTTTTTTTTTTTAATAGTATCGTTTTTAAAACATCAATTTATCAGGGTAACAAAACATATTTTGAAAAAATTGCATGGTACTTAAAATGAAATTTACCTAGATTTAAAATTGTCTTATTAATCATACTGATAATAATTAAACATTTTAAGTTCTAACTTCTAAGATGATATATTTTAGAGGTGAGTAGGTACAGATCAATACATTTTATTGGTATGGCGAGTACCTATAAAGCATACAGGCATACGGCTATACCATGGCATTCAAATTTCGAATGATTCCATATGAACAAATATAAATAGGTACTCTTAACATGGCCGAACATTCAAATACATTACAAGCCATTCATTTACAAATTTATTAGTAATCAATGATTACTAAGGTAAAAAATAAAAAAAGTATAGGTTATACTTATACTTACATTAAACTTCTTTCCAATATCGAACAGGCATTTGCAATTATTCGAGATTATTAAATACCTAATTTTTGTCGGATAATAATTTAAAATAGTTCAATAATGGTCAGTTACAGAAACGATGGTTAAGTAACGTCGATGATAAATTACATAAAATACGAATAAATTATTTTATGTATTTAGAGTAGAGATTGATAAATGCGAAAACGCCGAAAACACAAAATTTATACCTAGACCGGCTAGATTGTTTTAAGTTTTTAGAAGTCGATTCTTTTTTTATTTTTTGACTACTAGTAGATTTAAAGTAATAAATTCGGAGTATAATTAAATCGTAGCAGATGATTTTTAAGGTATTTAGTGGCTAGTTGTAGTAACCTGATGTGAACCATGTTGTACGCATAGATAATAATCTTTCATATCAATAACTACGTGGTAGTAATCAATAATCATAGATAAATATAATGTTTACATATGATAGTAATTGAATAATTGATGAATTTTATTTTTACTTATTAAGTTATAACAATAAAATTCTTTTGTCCCTCCACTTGAAAATAAATTTACTTAATTTCAAACTTTTTAAATTTAAATTAAGTACCATTTAAAAAAAGTGATGTATTTAATTTATCAAAATAGTTTTATGAAAAGTCATTGCAAATAGCAAATATTTCTCTTAGATTATAATTATCTAACTGTATTCCCATTGCCCAGTTACCAAGTTTTTAGCCGAAACGCCCGAAACAACACTTTTCAAGTTAATAAGAATGAAAAACAAATTTAGATCAAGTTAAACTCAAAAAAATTAATATTATTAATGGTATCTATATTAATGTAATCATTTTTACTAATAATGCAATAAAATAAAATATTTTTGGAAAAAATTATGTCAATCTATTATAATATTAAAGTAAAAATAAGTAGATTATAAAATAATGAAATATAATTAGTGATTTAAGTTGACAGTTTCCGCTCAGAAGTTTTTTTGGTAAACAATGATTTATCACTGAATTCAAATTTAACACACTCATAATAGTGACCTACCCTAATACATAGCAGAGCAGTACTTACCTGCTTTTTTTTTAATTTTAATATTTAAGAGTGACTTGAAAATATTAAATAACATACCTAATAAATTTTATAAAACTTCATAATAATGCATTTAAAGTATTTATCCATACTAATAACTATGAACAGGCAATAGTCTAAAATTAATCTAAATGTTTTAAAAATGTCATTATGTAGGTACTTAAAATATAATTTATCTATGTAAGTGACATGCATCTAACCAATAATTAGTTGTTGATGGTGTTTCACAGGTTTTTTTTTTTGTTGAAACAAATGTTGTACATAGTTTATAGACACACAGGAGTGGATTTAAGGCACTGTGAACTAGGTATGCAGCCGCATGGGCGGCCTTTTATACGCAGTAAAATTGTATTTAATATTTATTTTATTTAATTTTTCAATTTCAAAATAAATAATTAACATTAAAACTACTTATATAACCAAATAATTATTTAATAAATTTATTATTTTTTTCTTGTATAATAATAATAAAGAGAAAATACTATATTTGAATCAAAACCTTTTTTACTGAACTTTAGATAAATGAAAAAAATAATTGTATAATACATACAAAATATTATCATGTAAGGAAATTTTGTTGTACAGAGGTGTTTTTTTTAAAATAAGGGCAGTAAATTTTTTTTTGGCATAGGGACAGCAAATTGTTAAATTCGCCTTTGTAGACACATGTCACATAGTATACAATTATATTGAAATGGTTGGCAGTTACTTTTCTTCTTCAAGAAAAAAGAATATGTGATAATTTAAAATTTTCAATTATTTTCCAGTAGGAATATTGGTATGTTATAAAAAATTGGCAATAAATTTTATGTGGAATATGGATACAATGAGGAAATAATATATACGACATTTTATTTTTTGTTTCTAAATTACAAGCGTTATAATTTTGTTTTCTTCAAAAACTGTACAATATTCATTCATAATAATTTATTATCTAATACGGCCCCTAATTAAAAATTATACATAATATATAATATATAGGCGTCTAATGTATTACAAAAAAAATTCTTAGTTCCACGAACAAATACTTAATTGTTTGAGTTTTATAAATATTAAATCGTATACAAAAGTATTATATGTATATATATTTATAGAATTTATAAGGTTAAGAACAAATGTGAGTACAACACAACCCGTTTATAATACGGTCTGTAAAAGTATAACTCGTACATGTTTTTTATTGTTTTTCGACATACATAATAACGCGATGAGAAAATATTCTCATTTTAATACTATATATGCACAAAGGAATAAAAGTTTATCGACAACATGGATTTACATGACTGGTTTATACAACATAATATTATATTATACAGTATAAAAGAATATAGTTTTTGATAGACAAAAAAAAAATATTTAATAATAAGTAACAATTATTTATTGGGCTTTTCAATTGTCTGTATCAATAGATGATAAATCCAAATTAATACACATACGTTCATATACATATTATATATGTATAGTGACTATTTTAATAAACACCTATATGTATATATTACACATAATAGGACTTGACAATTTGAATAGAAATAAATACCACATCTTAATTAGGAGTCTGAAAACAAAATTCTATTCTACTGGATATAATACAAAAATTTACCTTTAAAATTACATTAAAAATTACAAGTATACTAATTTATATAAAATAATAATACAGTAATATATCTAGGTAGTATAGTTTACAAGACGTACAAAAAAAAAAAATATATATATATATATTTATAATATGATGTATATTGTATAACGTCGTTCGAGCAATACTGAAATCAACACACTGTTCCATATGAAATATAATTATAATAATATGCTAAAGGTATACAAAATGTTTCCACGCAGACTACTATGAATCAATAACAAAACTTAAATAATTTTTTATCAAATTTTTATTGGTGACAGTCTATAAAATTATTAAATGTACGTTCCAAATGTAAAAAATAAATTATAAGATTCACGCAAAATAACTCAATGATATTAATTTAATTTTTTTTTCAATTTCATAGGCACACCGTGTTAATTTTTCTTCATCACTAACAATAAACATTTTATAATAGTACATAAAAAGTAAGAGAGGGAGAAGAGAACTATAATAATAGTTTTTTTTATTATTATATTTTAATTATTAATAGTTATAATATAAAGCATACAAATATAGCATAAAAATAAAGAGGAAAAAATATTAAAAAAAAAAAAAATGCACATTTCACAGACAACAATTACCTTACAAATATCGTATACATTAAACTGTAATATGTTTCTTATTTTAATTTTTAAAAAAGCATTAAAAATTTAAAGGTTACTAGTCATGGTGCCTTAAAAAATATGCTACTTATTCGTTCAATACAATAAATACTAAACAATTATTAACAAAACTCGTTTCATATTTAAAATGTAAATTTTTAAATATCATGAAAAATAATAATATTACCGTGTGTATATCGTATACTTGGTGAAAAAGGAGAAAAACACTGGACATGATTGTACTCGATTTTGATGCATGTGTTGATTTTCCTTTGAGATCACAGATAATAGAAAAATGTGTCAGTAAACATAATCAACAATAATATTATTATCATATTTTTTTCTATATAAATTACTAATAATCTGGTGATGTGCACAATATACGTATACCAAAGTTACATGAAGAACGATAAACGTTCAAAAAGCTCAAGTTAATATTATCATTTAATTATTCAATAAAAATAATGATAATAATAATAATAATAATAATAATAATTAATAATAATAATAATAATAATAATAATAAGATACTAAAAAATAGTTTCATAATAAAACCGTCTCTACTGAATTTCAGTATGGTAATCTCAAATATTAGACTAACGTTATTTATACATATACGTTCCCTTATATGTGATGTGTGCTGGGATTAAAATACACACATACATCAAAGGCCTAAGTCTTTCGTTTTCGTCATTACAGTAGATCCATAATAGTAATTAGTTAGAGTGAGATGAGTGTTTTTTTTTTTAGAACATATACAAAGTGTGAAGGCCAATTATTCTCATTCGCATATGTCTAAAATATTAAGTTAAGCAATCATTTTTATATATATGTAAAAAATGAACAAATTTAGTTATTAAGAATAAAAATGCTTAAGACAATTTTGGGCGTTTTATATCAACATCATCTGATGAGTCTTCGCTGTCGTCGTGCATGCCATGTGTCTGATATTCATGACTTGAGTTCCATCCTGTAGATGGCGATCCAGAGTTTTTAGGCATTGCCTGTAATATATAAAATAAAACATTAAATTAAATTCTTAAGACAAATTATTATCTTACAATATAGATTTATACATTGATAGTTTCTTTGTTATTAATTTTTAATTAACCCTTTAGAACAAATTAACTTAGGATATATTTTGATATACATTTATTGTCTTACTAATTATATTAACCTGTTACTCGCAATCGCTCACCTGGTGTCCCATTGGGTCATATCCTAAGCTTCCATCAGAATACTGTGCCTGTAAAATTAATTTTTTAATGAAATGGATATATTTTATATGAACAGTTGTTCTATAATCAATATAACGCACACAAACCTGTGATCCGGACATAGGGGAACTATACTCAGCACCATTTAAACTAAGACTATAGCCCATGCTGTCTTGTGGACCACCACCAGGAGCTGGAGATAACAAGGGAGTTGGTGTTCCTTGAGAAGCAGGACCCATACTATAAGGGGAAGCGCCTATGAAAAGTAAATTGTATTAATATTAGTAAAATCATTAGTATCAAGGATAAAAAATTGGTTTAAATATTATATTTTTCTTAACCTTATGCCATATTACTTTGCTATACTAAATTATTATTAGCACAATATACCATATTTTTAAATTTAATTGGAATAAAAAGTATTTCATTATGTATCTACTTTTGAGTAACATTTTTTTTTCTAAGGGGGGAGGGTTTAGATGTTTAGTAATTGGACTACTAATGAACTTGGAATAGTAGGAAACAGGAACAGTTTGTATTAATATACTAGGTAGTTAACAATATGGCAAAAATTTTGTTCTATTTTAGATAGAAAAAAATATTTACAATTTAAATTAAAAGTTAAATATGTGGTCAATTAGTTATTGTTATATTTTATTGATGTGCATAGGCTCTCATGTCTAAATTTAAAATTTTTTGAATTTAACTTAGTGGTTTTAAAATCGTTTATAGACTATAAATAATAGTGTATGAATACTTAAATCTCAAATATCACTAAATATTGATAATACGCAAATGATTTAATTAAATTTATTAAAATATATTTTTCAGTTGATTATCATTTTACAAAGTGTACGCGATCAATTATCAATTTATTTCAACCTTATGGAAATCTAACAGTCGATACAAAGTCCATTTACCATACAAAGTCTCAAGTCTGTCTTGCAGAGGCAAGTTTACTGTTAATTATTTTTAAAAGAACGCTATATCCGCATGTGTATGATAGGAATAATACTTGCGGGTCTTCGTAAATAAAACGCATCAAAAATGATGATATTTTACATGCCTTAAACCGACGATTATTTTGTTTTAGATTCTTAAAATAATTCCAAAACTACCTTTAATTTGTTCATGGAATTAGTCGAATAGAAAAGTTCTTTAATGTTTAAATTAAATAAAGTTAATTTACATTGATAAAAGTAAATATTTTATTAATACTATTAAATAATCGTATTATTTTCAATTTTGTGTATTATGTAATTAATACTGGTTTGTGATAATTCTTTTAAAAAAAAAGGATATTCAGGATATGCTGTGTGTAGTAATACAGTTAAATTTTAAATTTTTGAGGTTTAAGGAACAATTTTTTGTCAAGTTAAGCATTCTATACAATAATAAATTGAATATTATTTGTTATAAATTACGGTTAAACAATTTGTATCATTAAAATATATTTTATCCATAGTCATGTTTCATTTAAAATTTTGAATATTACATAATATTAATTTATGGTGTGGAACCTGACTATGTAATCATTGGCAGGTGATACCACACCTTTTAATAAAAGAAACAGTGTACAACACGCTCGGGTGAGCGCACGCGCGCACAACGAACACACATGCTCACTTAAAAAAAATATACATATATATATGTATATAAATCGCATTGTATGGAGGGTGTAGTACGGGACAATGAGGAAACCAGGAAAAACCATTCGAGCTGTCAAGCTCAAAGCCAGGGTCTCGGTGATATATTATTTCCATTTGGAGCTTACACCGCCAGTACGTATATATCGCTATCCAAATCCCTATAGTAAACTTCACCCTTTCCCCATTTACATGTTTTTCTCTTTATGTTTTAAACACCAATAAGGACTACAATCTGTGAAAATACCTCCGGTAAATATAAAATTTCGACTCTGTCAAATACCACCAACAAAAATATTTTAATGCTATTTATTATTGTATCCGTAGTCTATATAAGTAAATGATATATTTATTGTCAATTATTAATATTAAAATATAGTTAGAAATTATGTGTCATTCAAATCGTTTTGTTGTTTAAGAAAATTATAAACACTTACCGGCAGCTTTCTTTGCAGCGTAAAGGTTTGCTTCTTCTTGAGCTTTACCGATATTTTTTTTATATCGAATTCTTTTATTCCCAAACCAATTTGACACCTAAATAATTGTAAATATAAATATTTTAATGACTATATTTACTATTTTGAATGATTTTCAAAGTAAATATAATTATATACTTGTGACACTGTAATGCTACACTTCCTTGCTAACTCTTCTTTTGCCTCCTCAGAAGGATAGGGATTGCTCAGATGAGAGTAAAAGTACTCATTTAGTATTTCGGAAGCTTGTTTACTAAAATTACGTCTTTTTCTTCTATAGAAAACAAAAAAATAGATAACACAATAAATATAATTGTATAGATTTATAATATCATCAATGTCTTTTATAATACAAACCTAGCATCCAAAAACCTAGATCTAAGTATCATGACCGCTTCACAAGTACTTTGCTTCAGTTGCATTTGTATGGAAGAAAATTTCTTATGTATTATTTGCACCATTCGTTCGATTTCTTTTGGAGTGATCGGCCGCGTTCTAGACTGTTCTCGTAAGAGATTCATTACATGGGTAGTAAATTCATTACAAGCCTAAAAATATATTAAAATCGTGAGTATGTGTCTAAATATATATTATATATTATAAACGATTGCTTTGATGTAAGCCGTATGACATAATAATCATTACATTTGATAAATAATATTATTTGGGTCGTAGTTTAAAACTTAATCTCAACTCCACACATATTCTAGATTTTAAGCCTTATCCTAACAGCATTAAACAAAATATAATTATATTTATTATAGGTACGTCTAAATGTCCATAACTAACCTATCTTTATGAATATATCTATCCAAAAACATAATTAATCATTTTTTGCGGTATTTGTTTGATCACACGCCGTTTGTGGCATATCATGATATTAAAATAAATATTTTTAAATGTCAAACTAAACATAAGACAACACAGGTTCAAGGATATCTACTTTATAACCATTAAAATATTATTCATCTCACAGATTATTGTTCATGCAATTTGTCCTGTGAGGCCAACAAATACATATTTAAATTTGATTTCGAAACGTTTAAGAGAAAGTACAAAAATACGACTATACCTGGAACCTGAAACTTATTTCCATAGGTATTTAATTTATAAAACTCATTACTGTATTCAACAATAAAAAATTGAAAATTCTCGTGTGCAGATCTGGTAGTTAGGCCGATTAATCTGTTGAACATCACGCGTAATATTGGTCGCCCTACTCTTTCATATAGTAATCACGAGTTATTCATACAAATCATACAATTCAAATAATTGCACGCTTCAGTATTATTTCTCGGTGATATTGAATTGAGTCCATGCTACTTTTATGTGTTTGAATTGAGTACAGCATATTATCTTAATATTTTGAATTGAGTCCGTATAGATAAAATGTCATAACTACCTATATAGTCGGTGATGACTGAACTTTGCACATCATATTACACTGAATACACAACAATAACAGATATTTGTCAACGGCCTGGTGGTATATACTCGTTCAAAATCAACCAGTCACGCCGAACACTTCGTAAACACACAATTAGTTAATACTTACATAATTATCAAATTATTACGAATGAAAAATGGAGTATATGTTTAGATATCCATCCGTAAAATAATTATTTATCCTCAAAAATGTTTAATATTTTGTTATATTTCCGAAAATAATGAGATGAGATGTAGGTATTTGAAATTTCTAAATTATTATTTTCAATACTTATATATTATGATAAAATTTTGAACAAATTTTATCTCTTTTTGAAATATTTATAGGTATGACAAATTTTCAACTTTTTTTAGTCTTTTTCTATAACTGTCGATAAAAATATTCTCTTTGTAAAAAGTATCTTTATTTATTATTATTTTTAATATTTTTTAATTAATTGACTCTATGCTTATTATTACAATTAAAAAAGGGACTCAACTCAAATAACCTAAGAATATTGGCCGGACTTGACTTCGGTAATCCAAAAGTATTTACGGGACTCAATTCAATGTTAGACCTATTGCTAATAGTTAGTGTATACTATTGTAATTTTTACAATTGACTTATATTAACTTCAGAATTAATTACATCCAAGAAAATTTAACTAAGAAATTACACACATGCACACTTATTAAATAATTTAAACATTCATGTAGTTAGTTACTTATCGTAAACTTAAAATTTCTTTTTTAAATACAATAAATTGTATAGACTGAGAAACGAATAAAATATTTGATACTAGGCATCAACGGTTTCAAATTAAAACTGATTATCTTGAATAAAATGTAATTAAAATTTAAATACAGGTACACACTTCCTACTATGGAAATTTTAACAGTACTTAACCCTAGAGATTTACTGGGCGTTAACTAAACAAAATTAAACTATGAAATTACAACTCGAAAATTCGTTCAAGTTATCCTTCTATGGGTCTTTTTCACACCTTTCGAGTTAAATGTTAGTAATTAGACCAATTACTTATTGTACACAATGTATAGATTATAAAATTTATTTAAATAAATAATAATGAAATACATTAAAATAATTTTAAGAAAACATATGATTTACTTAATCGTAACCCGTATATTTTTTTAATAAATAAAATGTGTACCTAGTATTTATACTAACAAAGAATAACACCAACACGTAAGTATTTAATATTTATGAATATATCCATATATATAATAAAATGTATTTAAATTAATATTGAAAAAATAGACACTACAAATATATACAAGTTACCTATACTTATAAAGAAATCGAAATAGACTGATAGCAGAAAGAGAAAAAAAGGATGCCAACATTGCCAGAAATAAAAGGCATACAAATTAATCTATCTATACCCATTCTTAACGAAAGAAAGAAAGAAGTTTAACAAAATAGATAACAATTTTTTTAGGAAAAGACAGCATACACCCTAAGACTGCACCATGTGCACAGGTATCTCTTTCTAATAATGTTAGTACAATAGAAGATCTATTACAGAATACGTGATACGCGCAATCCATATATCAACTTGTCTGTTACTGAGATATTTTGTTCGATCGTAAAATTTTTACTTAACGCTCTGAGCAGAGTATTGATTTTACAATGTTTTTTTTGTGTATTTATCATTACTTTTTGGGCCAATAAAAATATTTCAATCTTCAACATAGAAGAAGTTTCTAGTAGCAAATTGGATCCGATGATAGTGCGTTTCCCTAACTAGTATGGCACGTATGAACTTAAGTAATGTAAACTAAAACGCACGCGTACGATACGTTACTTATGACAAACGAGCTCAACTTACATGAAAAATGAACATCGTAAAATAACCTATGTATAACAGATAATGTGTTTTGCATGTGCTAAAGACAGAAAATAAATAGTGTGTAGATATTCTTAAAATTAAATTATCATAATTATTATTGTTTCAAAAGATTTTAACTAATTTTAAACTACTTATAAAAATTTGTTATTTTATAATTTTCTCAAAATATTGTCACGATGTTAATAACTTAATAGAATTTAAAAAAATATGTATTTTCATTACGTATATTATTATTTTCTATTCACGATATAATTTTCAAAATATTTAGTCTAATATTGTATGCTACCTCTACCAAAAACAAATTTACAGTAATAATATGTTATGCGGTATTTATTCATTTGCAACAATAATATAATATAATATTATTATTTGAAAACAATTAAATCGATCTATTATAGTACTAATAGTAATAAATGATCAAATATACTTATAGATATACAGACTAAATTCTGACTGATACAATATACATTGTCTTCACTTAGAATCATTTTTCGTAAGAATGATTTATTATTGAGTTCAAATTTAATACGTTATCCATTATAGTGACATGCTCAACGCTAAGGTACATAATACTTAAAACCTATTTTACAGTTTGCAGCATAGCAATTTTCCTATTTTTTATTTTTTTTTTAACCACTAAAACTATAATTATGTATTAATATACTTTTATAACACTATAATAGTACCTATTGGGTAAGATAATCAAATTATAAATTTAAACCATTTTCAACTGATAAGTAGCTAAAAAATACTATAATTACCTGTTCGTATTTTTCCAGTTCTTGGTGGTAAATTTGTCTGATCTGAGCTAATTTTGCTCTATAGTCGGAATGCTCAATGGCGTTATCTGGTTGTCCGGGACCACCCGAAGCTGCGGCTGATGCACTAGCTGCAGCTCCAGCACCACCTCCTTTTTCAGGACCAGCTACTCCTTCAGCAATTAACATGTTATCTAATCGCATCAACTGTGGATCTGGTGGCTCTTCTTCTTGTGTATTTCTTAAACTTAATACTATAAATAAAACAAAAAAGTATATTAATTATTTGTATAAGACTACATGTTAAACCCTTAACATTTTTAATGATTATTAACATAATATTCAAAATCAACATTTTAGTTGAAAGAAATCCGAAAACTTAGTACACATAAGTTATTTAAATAAATATTTTATAGATACTGTTTGAATTCAATCAATATATCAAACCTGGGTTAAAGATACATTGGACTTATTTTGTGAAAATTAACGGGCCAGGGATCCTTCAATTTGTTCTTAAACATAATACAGTTGTTGAACTACCTACACTATGTAAAGTATAATAATTATTTTATATAATGTTAAACCTTTTAAGTAGTAAATAGTAATAAATATCATGATACACCATGAATGGACTACAAAAAATTCAACCCTCTGATACCATAAATAAATATTTAAGTACGAATTTTCCTCGAATCATAGATTTATATTTATATTATACAATAAATTAATGTATTTAATTATTGTTTACTCATCAAAAAAACTATTTTGATTACAATATCACTTATTGTATAGAAATTAATAAAAATATTATACAACTAAGACTTAATTTTTTCAATTTTCATATTAATTTGAATATAAAATCATGCTTAATAAATTAATTGTATTAAATTCATTGTTAATATAATCATAACTATAAATATTAAACTTTATTAAAATAAATATGGGAACGAATATATTTCATAAGAGATTAATCAATGAAAAACTAATTGAATAAAATATAATATGCTGATGCCTGCACACAATATTTCATTATGTAATTTACAAAATGATAAATACTATTGAAATTTATTACTTTAAGAAGTAGCTTGACTATCAAATTAACTATATGGTCTCAATTTTAATGTATAATTAAAATAAATTTATCAAATAGGTAAATAGTAATGATACATATAGTGGATATTCTGGAAATACAGAAAGTAACACAGAAAAATGAAAATATTTTAACGTTCTACATATGAGTACTTTTAATATTACTATAAGCTATTAATTTACAACCTTATTAAATGTACTGTTCTGTATTTTAAACTGAGATAATTTGTCATCGATTATTTTGTTTAATTTGTGCGTTTAAGGAATATTTTAAACACGCCCAGAAACTTTGTGGAAGTTCTACCAGAACAAGGTAAAGTGCTACACTTGGCGCATGAATAATTAAAAATTAGGCAGGCGTTCTGTTACACATTAAGGGTTCTGAGTTTCCCTTGCATATTTAAATAAAACAAAGCTTATTTCGCCCAGTATTATTCGTTATGTTATTTATTTTCGACAAATATGTAATTTAAGACAAACCATACAATAACAAAATAAAGTAAAAAAATACTTACATAAAAAGCTAATAACCTAAATTAGATCCAAGTAATTAAAATTAAGGAATATTATTGAGGGATAGAATGCTACACTAGCATAGTTTGTTAAGTTGGTTTTTTATCACACGGGTAACATGATAAATATATACCGATAAAACTTATTTTAAAATAATTGTACGACAAAAACCAATATAAACAAGCATTTATCTGGTCCGCAGATTCTATATAATATGTTAAGCGTATGTAAAAGTCAATAGAAAAATATATGCGTGTGAACGTCTTTTCTTATAAACTAGCGAGTGAAATATTTTTGAATACCCAAATTATTACGTTGCTCATCTCTTTGGATCTACTCTTCAATTTATAAACTTGAAATACATCACGATATATACAAATCGCACAATATAGGATATCAATGAATACAATTTGAAAATAAGAAGTTGGTAGCTACTTTTTTTCAAATAATTTATGATATAAATATTAAAATCTCAGAAAATGTAAAGTATTTAACTCTTAAACGAATAAAAACGAAGTTCATAATGGAAACTTTGTTATACATAACTTTGTATATAATATTGCCGGATTCACGATAACGAAATTACCCAGTATAAATAATGTATAATTGTTCCATTTTCAATATTTTTATGCATTATATTTACTCGTAATTATTCATATTAGTAAAATAATCTGGGAATCATTTATAGATTATTTCACAACTATAAATAAAATAATGGGAGTAACGAATCATTGCGTGCTATTGCAATTTCTGGGAATGAATAGTGATTTTTCACAAAAGGAAATAAGAAAAATGATGGTATCACCCAATTAAGAATAATGAAGTCGTACACGGAACGTTAAATATAAAAACATTAATAAAAACCAAACAGACAGTAATATTATTTGATATTTATTTCTTTATTTGTAATAATTATGCTAATTTCTGTCCAAAAATAGTAAAAACTTTATTTAATTGTTTTTTTTTTTTTACAAAAAGTTTAAATTAACATGCAATACTTATAAATTAATATAATCGAACATCCATACAAGAATAGGGACGGAGCCAACAGCTCTTCAGAACTGTCACTATTTATAAACTAGTTATTTCTGGTAAAAACATGTGTTCCTCCACATCAAAACACATTTTTGTTCAGATCACATAAATTATATATACACACACGTATAAGCGTTAACCCTCATATCTCATAACTTGTACACGCAACTTATCACAATTTTTCACGCACACATGCACGAGTAAAATAAACAATAGCAGCATCACCTCCCCATGGCATCATAAATCGTCACAAAAGGTGGAAAAGATCTTTCATCGGCCACTTCAAACACACTTCAAGTATTGGAATTAATTGTATATGTTACATATTATAATGTACATACTCATCAGGATAATTTCAACAAATTCATTTAAAACACTTTAAACATCAAGCTATACGTGTTTTTATTTTAAAATTAAAATGTTTAAGTTAATAACAAATAATAATATTTAATTCTATAAAATATAAACAGTAGGGTTAGTAAAATGATACAGAAGCTTTGCTTTCTGTTATTTAATTTAAATAATTTAAAAAACAAGATAATGATGATTTAATGTTAATATAATTTATTTACATATGTTAAAATATTATCTAAAATTATTATTTCTCAAACTCAACAAAGTAACTGTGCGAGGAACCTTAATATATAGTTATAAAATGTTTGAAAAAAATCTAGTTAAATAATTTTGTTATAAATTAAAAAAATTATTTAAGTCAGTTGTCAGTAACTTAACTGGATTCACATTAGAAAGTAATATAAGTATATTTTTTTAAACTATAGTTAGGTAATAAAGTTTCAGGTGTCAAGTCGTTTTGAGTAAATTACAGTTCACCATAGCCCAGCGGGAGAAGTAACAGTGTAACTGCGGGATATTTAAAGAATCTATAGTGATAACTTGGTATCTTTAAGGTCAACGATGTGTTGAACGGGATTTGACTTGAAAGTCACTTTGGTAAATTACCTAACAGCATTTTTTTTTAAATAATATTATATAGATATACAATAACAGATAAATAATCATATTTTTTCAAAAAATACTTTTCATTTATTATTGTAATAACTTAATCCGTAGTCACTTAATTAAAATTAATCGATATTATTCGACGATTAATAAATTAATCAATTAGTTTTTATATTTTACGAACTTTCTTCTATTATTGGAACATAGTTTTTTGTTTATTCACATTAATATCAAAAACTATAATATTATACTCTCTAACAGCCTAATAAGCTTATCATGTAATTTTAAACGGTTTAGATCAGTGTTTCCTAAACTTTTTTTTACTTAACAACCCGTTTTAAAAAAATCTCACTGCCTCCTTCATAAATTTAAAAAAATTACAGCCTTATTATAATCGGTAACTTTAAGTAAAAAACAAAACTCTACAAACAATTTTTATTTTTATGCCTATACTAAATTTTTAGTGTGTAGGTATACGTTTTATGCATACCTTTATAGTTCTGTATATTACTTATGGTACTGGTATTATTCTAAATTATTTTTGATTCTATGCTGATACTTATACATTTCATATCAATCAATTATGAACAATAAAAATGAAAGTCACAGTAGAATCCCCACTTAACGTTCCTGAATAAAACGCCCCCCTCAAAATTAAAAAATCCCACAAGGAGACGGTACTACCACGTTGGGAATCACTGGTTTGGATGCATAAACACTATGACGTTTTGAAAACGCATAACTGTAATCATATACAGTATACTCGAATTTAAACTCGGAAAATATAAAGAAGGATTTTTCGAACATCCAAATGTTTCGCGAAAGATTAATAAAGCAATGGTGGCAGTAAGAGTTAGCAAGAGGCAATACAAAAAGTTTGCTGGAATGTTTTAAGTTTTAATTAAACAATTGTTTTTTTAAAGTACATATTTCAGTCGGAGCAGAACATTTTTATACAAAAGTAGAAGGCGCGCAAGGGGCTAGCGTCAAGGCCGGCCGACCAAAGAGCGAGGAGGAAACGCGGCGGTGCAATAATATATATAAAACAGTATAAAACGCGAATTGGAATTGAAGACGAAGAAAAACATGTACGCGCGCAACACAATATCAGCCGGTGCGGAATGGCACTCGGCTGCCAGGCCGCCTTTTTCCCGTCCGTCCGTTTCCCTCCCGTTAGGTATTGATTTGTTCCAAGGACCAGCGCGCCCCATCCCCTCCGCACCGCACCATCACACCATCGCCACCGCTGTTGCCACCGCCGCCACGCAGAAGACGACGACGTTACTTCAGTCATCCACACATACCAGTCTGTCATTTTTTAAATGTATAATAATAATAATAATAATAATAATAATAATAATATTATACGTACAATAATATTATAATATGCCATTTAACAGAATTACAAACATGAATGCACGGCAATTAACGATTATTGTCATAAATTCATAATTATTGCTTTAAATATTTTTTTCTATTAGATCTAAGTATGTAAATACAGAATATTTTTGGATTTCATTTTTAAAGTCTGGAGGCACATGCAAAATAAGAAACGCCGACGTTGACAAACGTGAACAGATGTCAAGCCATTGTCAACAAGGCACGGACACGTCTGACAACTGAAATACATCGATCGGGCACCATAAACATTAAATGC